TATAAAGGCCAACACTGTGCATGGGCCTGGAGGGTCCATGGTTAGACTGACAGCAGTCTAGGGTGTGAGAGAGAGAACAGTGGGGAAAAATGAGAATGGTTGGCTGGAGCTTACCTACTGAGAAACGTCTGCCTTACCTACTGAGCTGAAGGCTTTGGATGTTATCCTGTAGGCAGTGAGGAGCAGGCACAGAATTTTATTCACAAGAATGACAGGATTACATTTTTAGAAACATAACTAGTGGCAGTGTAAGGAATGGCTAGTAAAGAGATTGGAGTTAGAAAGACATATTGGGAGGCTCTTCCAAATTCAGTTGGGAGACTACCCTTAGTATTCTGAAAAGTACAGCAGGGAGTAGTAAAAAGGAGAGAATAAATGTTTAGGATGTTCTGTGTCATATGCTCTTTTGTAATTCATGCCCTCCATAAAGGTACTTTATTCTTGTCCGTTTTTTTTTTCTTTACCGCTTTTATTTATTTATACTATAAGGAAAAGGACACACAAGACTCCTTACTGAGGGCATCTCCAGAGCTGAAGAATTCCCTTTTTTGGATTCTAGAGCAATCCTTTGAGACCCAGGTATTCTTGCTGGTGGAAGTTCTGGAGTATGTCTAAACATCCAGACATTTTTTTTTTTTTTTAGTATTTTATTTATTTGACAGAGAGATCACAAGTAGGCAGAGAGGCAGGCAGAGAGAGAGAGGAGAAAGCAGGCTCCCTGCGGAGCAGAGAGCCCGATGCGTGGCTCAATCCTAGGACCCTGAGATCATGACCTGAGCCGAAGGCAGAGGCTTTAACCCACTGAGCCACCCAGGTGCCACCCGCCCCAGACATTTTTAAAATTGGCCTTGATTTTCAAGTCTTTCATATTTGGACTTTGACCCTTAACTTTGTACTCCTTCAGGGTTTTTCCAGAGTGGTCCCAGGATGAAACCAAGAGGTGGACATACATGTCACCTACAGGGCTTCTTAGTTCCTGGCCATGAATACAGCCTCCCTGTTATCAAGAGAAAACATCTAATGAGAACCTACCTATATGGCAAGTTCCATACAAGGTGCTAAGAACACAGATGAGGCACATTCTTGCCTTCAGCATCATTGGGTTTAGAATCATTCGCTCCACATTTTTGGAGCAGCTACTCTGTGCCAGGCATTCTATTCGAGATATGGATACATACGTAAAGGCAGAGGTGTATAAATGACTTTTTATGAGACAGTTCTCACAAGGGCACTTTGATTCTTCACAAATGTTCAGAGGCAACTGTTGTGTCCATAATCCTTGGCATTCACAAGGCTTCTCTGTAGCTGCTAGAAATTCTGCTACTACTTGGAAGGTGGTTATAAAATCAGGTAACTCATTCACAAAAAGGTCATACCCGAACCAACAAAAAAGTCCTAATAATTATGGTTCCTTTTAAAAATCACTCATTCTCCAGCTCCTTGGGACATTACATGCTCTCTTTGCCATAAATATTTAGGACTCATTTTTAGAATCTATATCTGAACTTCCACTTAAAAGCCTCAAAGTTGGGGAACCTGGGTGGCTCAGTCAGTTAAGCATCTGCCTTAGGCTCAGGTCATGATCCCAGGGTCCTGGGATCAAGTCCCATGTCAGGCTCTCTGAGTCTACTTCTCCCTCTGTGCTCTCCCTCTCTTGCACACGTGGATGTGCCCTCTCTCAAATAATAAAATCCTAAAAAAATAAATAAAAGCCTCCAAGTTGGTAAATTTTTGTCATGTACATGTGTTAATTTTCAGAAAGAGCTAAGATTAATTCAGAGTCAAGTCTAATAGAAAAGGTGGTCAAACTGGGCGTTCGCAGAAGTCAAATAAAATAATTGTGTGCTTTGTTCTGAAGGAAAGTCCAAATAAGAAATACTTTGAATAACAGCATGGTTTGTTGGAAATAATGTAGGTTTGTTTCTGCAGCTGCTGAGAGGATCACCCCCACCCTCAATGATTATGAAAAACCAGTATCTATTCCATTAAACCACACATTTAGACCCAAACGCTACTATGTAATTGTATACTTTTTCTGCCACTGCCAGGGAATTCTACAAGTTCACAATAGTTTAGTGATTTCATTTTAATTACAAAGGGAAAACACAGGAAGAGAATAATGAGAAATAGTAAACTATTGAAAGGGATGATCTTAAAGAAAATTTAAGATGTTATGTACATTAGGGAGATCTCAAATAGTCCTATGATCACAGTATAAAAAATTTCAAATGAAAGACAAGTAATCTTTCCAAGGTGGAAATTCCCTTTATCATGGGGTACAAAACTGTGATGCCCTGGGTCAGGGGAGTAAAGGTTATTCTGTTTAACACATTGATTTAACAACTGTTATGAACTGGGACCTGGGAGATATTGTTCTCCTGCCTATGAGCTTGACTGGGGGGAAGTGGGTCTTTCTGGAAGACTCAGAAGCCAAGTTAGGCCAAGGAATCTGCATGTGATCCCTGAAACTCTTCAGAATATGGGTTCTGTGTAATCCTGCCTTCTCATGCAGACAAGGAAATATTTTTTACAGAATGTCAAGTAATGTGCCAAACACTACATCCAAAAGTAGATTAGAACCCTGATCTCATTACTAAGTTGCACTATTCACTGCAATAGTTTAAATAAACAAATGGTTAAGACTCTGAACTGAAAGTGCAGTCCTATCTTACAGACATTTGCCAGAACACATCCCAACACATGCTGTTCTATGTGTTTGCCCCAGCAGAGACCTTCTGTTGACCATGCTTCTGACCAGTCACCATGAAGCCAATGAGTATTCAGTCATTTTCTGTGATGTCCCTGAACAGTACGACTTCAGGAGGCTTCAGCTACCTGCCCAGTGCTGCCAGGTGACTTCTTCCATACCTGTATGAGAATAGATAAAAACTTCCAACCCACCTGGCCCCACTGATGAGAAGGTGTTGGGAACAACCTCTCTCCCCCAAGGCTCCATGAATAGAAAACAGAAAGGGCACTTCCAAGTGATTTTGCCGAAAAATTCAAAGACGATGGGGTGAGGAAGTATTTTAGGTTTGGCCAAGTGGCAGATTTGGGTAACTTGAGCAATACTTCCCCATTCTGGAACCCAATAACATAATCCCCTAAACACTGTCTTTCTGGATTCTGTCCGGAATGCCAGAAAGTACAAAAAGGTAAAGAATAACGTAAAACAAGGCTTTACCTTTTATTTATCTCTACCCAATAAACCTGAATGACTCTGTTCCCTGCCTTTGATTGTTTTGTCTGCATATTTCCGCTAAGAGTTTACAAAACAGCACTCCCAAACAGGAATATAAGAGGCGCACCTATTTGTTGAATAAACATCAAGAAAGAAAACTGCTAACTCATCTATTTTGTTGTGAAATTGCTCAAAAGGATCAAAATACCAATAATTAACTTCCTGGCTCAGAAATCTTTGATACCTTCAGATTTACTGACATTTTGAAATTCTTGTTCATACTTGCCTAATGGCTTTCGGATTACGAACAAAGAAGTGCCAATCTGTTTAGCATTTGACCTGTTTTCTTAAATATTTTTACGTATTCCACACTTAGTGGCTAAAAATACTTGACTAGTCACATTCATGTGCTAAAACAGTCTTTTTTTTCCTCCTTCCACCTCCAAGTTTAAGAGGAAAAAGGAGCTCAAAGATACTTCTTTTTTAAAAGCCATTTTGTTATTTTTAATTGAAAAACTCTAACTGCAAGGAAATTTCTTTGCCCTTTCTTCTCCATGGAATGTAGTGGTATTTTGAAGCCTCGATGAAGTAGGGGTGCCTGGGTGGCTCAGTGGGTTAAGCCTCTGGCTTTAGCTCAGGTCATGATCTCAGGGTCCTGGGATCGAGTCCCGCATTGGGCTCTCTGCTAGGCAGGGAGCCTGCTTCCTCCTCTCTCTCTCTCTCTCTCTGCCTGCCTCTCTGCTACTTGTGATCTCTCTCTGTCAAATAAATAAAATCTCTAGGGGAAAAAAAAAAAAAAAACAAAATTCTGAAGCCTCGATGAAGCAAGATACCTATTAGAATCCATTCTTCCTGGAGAAAAAGTTGGAAAAATGACCTTGGGCACAAGTTTCAGAAAAGAGGTAAAAAGAAACTAAAGATGGCTAATGGGGTGCAAATTTTAAAATGGGTTTTAATTTTCCTCTCTGGTGTCCTCAGATAGCAGTGTATCTCACAGGTGGCTTTTTGTTATTGTTGCCCTCTATCTATTTCCTCACAGAAAGTTTTGTAAAACTTCTACCTGTAATCACATGACACAGAATCCATCCCTATGGCCTTGAATAGATGAGAACAGGTTTTCACTCCTAGATAAAGTCAATTTCTGGGTCTAAAGAACTCCAAAACATTTCAATAAACATTGAGTGAATGCAATGGACCGAGGAGATTAAATGTGGATGCTGAAGACTACACGGGTTCAAATTTCTGCTCTACCACCTACTAGCATGGGACCTTGGAAAAGTCACTTACATTTCTTTTTGTGCCTCAATTTCCTCATCTGTAAAATGGGAATAATAACAGATCATAGCTTACAGCATTTTTCTATGGATCAAATAAGATTATACATCTAGGACATTCTAGGTGCTATATAAATATTAACTCTCCTATGATACCATAACATTGTTTTAGCCTAAGAGAGGATCGGCTGCTTGGGTGTGTTCACATCCACTAGAATCTTGACCCACTTAAGAAGGAACACTTTCACCATGTCAATTAAATATCTGGACGCTCTGAAACCTAAGGATATGTGTAATATATAAATATCTATGGATGTTTTTATTTTTTAAAAAGTGGTCAGAAGGGTGCTTACCCTGTCCTCCAGAGCACAGCAATTTAGATAGCGCACAATAAAAATGCAACATTTCAGCAAGTAAATGGTAGCTGGTAACTAGCCCGTTACAGGTTAGGAGGCAAACGAGCAGGAGGAGCAGTCCCAGGGGACAGGGATAGCCATAGGACAGCTATATTTAACAGAACACATTTCCCAAGATGCTGGCCTGACCTTTTCACAAACTCTGCAAAGAGGATGCGGTGGGAATAGCCCTGCCTGCGGATGTTGACTGTCTCCAGGATCCCTGTGGAGCGGAGCTGGGCCAGCACACTCTCTCGGGAGAACTTCAGGGCCTCTCGGTCATCATTGGGTTTAATGCAGCGCACAAAGTGGGGCTGTCCGACCACCATTTTGGAGAGCAGATCCATCAGAGAATACTACCAGGGGGAAAAATACACAGGAAATGAGGTTACCACAAACATAATGGATAATTCCGGCACAGGCCCACGGGGCCCTCTAGAGCAGTTTGTGGGCTTGTAAACAACTCACAGGCCTTTATAAGGCTGGAAAAGAAACCAGCTATAGGGGGTGATAATATAGGTTCTGAGAAGTCCTTATAGCTGCCTGTGGATTCAAAAGCATTCCTGAAACATCCCCTAGGGCCAGGGCACCTGGGTGGCTTGGTTGGTTGAGCGCCGACTCTTGATTTCAGCTCAGGTCATGATTTTGGGGTGGTGGGACTGAGCCCTGTGTCAGGCTCCTTGCTCAGCCAGGCATCTGAGATTCTCTGCCTCTGACCTCCCCCCTGCTCGTGTGCTCACACCCACACTCTCTCTCTCTCAAAATGAACAGATGAGGGGCATTTAGGTGGCTCCATCAGTTAAGCATCCAACTCTTGATGTCGACTCAGGTCATGAACTCAGGGTCGTGGGACTGAGCCCTGCAGTAGGCTCCTCACTCGGCATGGAGTCTGCTTGAGATCCGCTCTCTCTCTCTCCCTCTGTCCCTCCCCCCAGCTCATGCTTTCTCTCTAACAAATAAATAAATTTTTTAAAAATAAAGAAAACAAATAGATGAATCTTTAAAACATAAATAAATATCACCAAGTGTCAAGCAATATCCCTATGTGGCAGAAACTTAGCTGTCGAAGAACATGCTTAGGTTACCCTGTAATGCCATCCCAGAACCAGTTCGTGTGGTATGCTAACACAGTACTCCATAAACTGTACCTGTAATGTAAAAGGTCTAGCCTTTAGGAAAGGGGTCAGTTTCTTCTTCAGCCTAAGAACCACCAGAAAGTCTAAGCAAATCCTACTGATACCACTGGTAATAAAGCAGAAGAGAAACAAGAAAGAGAGAAAAAGGACAAAGAAAACAAGAAAAACTAAAGAAAACAAGAAAAACTGAAGAAAAGGAGACTATTGTGAAGGTCACCTAACATCCATCAAGTGGCTGGTGGGGGGCTCCCACAGAAAGAGGGCACATAGAGAAGCACTGCTGTGTGGGACTGCCTCAGCTGCTCCTAAGGGGCAGCCACTTTTGGAGCTTCTCTGTGTACACACCTTGAGGGGCAACTACAGCTACACAGGAAATCAGTCCCTTTATTTCATAATCACACCTCCACTGATCCAAAATGGTATTACCTAGCTTGCCACTATATTCTCTTTCTTGGAATTAACATTTGGGGGACACCAAACTGATTGTCATTGATATATTTCTGAAAAATCATAAGGCAAAGGTGGCTTCTTCTGAGAGAGGGACTCTAGGATCTTGAAATTGACCCCACAGGGTTGCTCAAAGCCTCCAAATCCCCCGGAACGGGGACATACACATGCACACACATACACACACACACCCTATCCCCCAAGACACTAGGAGGATACAGCCACTAAAGTGGACAGGACTAGGGTAGGTCTCAAGGTGAGAAATATATGGCAATTAGAAATGTCCAACCATGAGAGTGATGAAATAGGATCTAAACATCTACCTGTCAGAGAAGCTGTAGCAAGAATCAGCATGAGGGTAGAGTGTTGGACTCAAAGGCCTCTGGGCCCACTTCCCACCCTCTGGGCCCAATTTCAGTCTACTTCTGAAGTATACAGCTGATGAGGTCAGATTTCTTGGCTTTGGATGCTAATTGAACCTGCTAGCTTTCCATGGAGCCTTCCCCATGGTGCTGGCTCCCAGGTCCTGTCCTCCAGCCTGCTTCAGCAACTCCAGCTCATGACCACTCGACTCCCATCCCTGCAGAGTCCTTTCCTATCGCAACTCCACCCTACAACCTGAGATCAGTAATTCTGTCTTTGGCCTAATAGCATCTCCACCACAAAGCTGCCTAGACCTTAGTTCCCAGTGGGACATGATCTCTAAGGGGCTTCCAACCCTACTGCTTTATAATTTGAGGATAAACAAATCTGTGTGAATTGGTAAAAAGTGTCTGCATCTTATCTTTCCTATATAATGTGCATTTAACAGAGCCCTTCTAGGCACAACATTTTTATTCAAAGGAGTCATTTTACTAGATGAAATATCAAGAATTGGGGCAGCAGAGATGGGAAATAACTGTGTCTGGCAATGGGTAAATTTGATCTAGGAAAATAAAGTTAAAACTAAGACAGATTCCCTCAGGTTGTGAACTTAATAAGCCACCTTCTGGAATTTTATTAACTTTATTTTTCAGTAAATATGCTGGAAAAGCGGTGGATTCCAGTAGCTTTAAGGCCAAGGAGCAGCTCAAATACTAACAGAATCAGCACACTGAATGGACAGGCTCTGTGCCAGTGACAGAGAGTGTCCCGTCTGTAGACACATGGGATTTCATTCGATCTTTCTGAAATCAGAAAACATATACGTAGAGGTGGGCTCTCCACTTTAATTTTTCTCTCCCCACACTTCCACCTTTCTTAACTAACTCTTGTGCTTTGCTCTTATTTCACTAATTCCATCATATCTGGGCCTCTCACAGGAAGGGATGGCAGTCCTTTTTGGAAACAGGTAAAACAGAGATCAAAAGGACTCCGTACCCGGAAGTAAGAAGCCATGGTCTGCCTTTTCATGTTGGTGGTTTCTTCGGGATGTCGTATCACCTCCAGAGTGTCCACCTAGAGCAGAGGCAAAGGGAAGTAGTTTTAGGATATAGGCATTTTCTGGCTCTTCCAAAATCTCAAAGGCTTTTTGGTTAAATACCCAAGGGACCTTGACGTTTAGGACATGATAGTGAAAACTATGGGAGAAGTTTGAAGACCTATAAAAGAAAAACAAAATTTGCACTATCCTACTCGCTTGAGAATGGTGAAGTACCATACTGTGAAGTCTTGGTATAAATCCCCAGCACTATTATTTCTGTATTTCTTGATGTTCTAATGGGCCCCTCTTAAGTTCTCCAATAAGGTTGCATGAGACCAAACTATTTCTTAAAAGAAAACTGGGCAATGACCCATGAGGCTGGGTGATTACAAAGACATGGGCTCAAAGCCCAGGTTGGACTGCAGGGAATTAGATGAGCTGTAGTCACCTTCCTGCCACCCTCCCACATCACACAGTTCCCACGTGCTCACTGGAGACTGGAGCTTGAGATACACCTGTTCCCAATCATCTATCCCAACCACCTAGGCTGACTGGAAGAAATTTATGAATGAAAACAACTGTAGGAAACAGCTTGTTTTGTTATTGTACTTCAACAATAAAAACCCCACTCCTGCACATATAAGCTATTTGGTTTGCAAAGTGCATGAGTGGCATTTTAGCGCCAGCCTCTGCCATGGCAGCCTCCCATCTGCTCAGAACAGGTGGCAAGGGGATGAAGCAGGAATGTCTGAACTAGAGAGGCTGCTGTCAGCAAGTGTGTTCTGCTTGGTGGATGGCTGTCCAGGCAGCCAACCCTCCACGGGGTGAGGATGTCTGCAACCTCATTCAGCAAAAGTACAAAGAGGGTGTTAAAAGGGTTGAAGGCATGAGGGTGGGGACAAAAAATGAGACCTACCTCGAGGGGTAGTTAGGAAATGGGGCATAGTGGAAGGAAATGCTTCAGGTGGCTTCAAGAAAAGTTTATTTAAGAAAAGGAATAAATGGGGAGCTAAGTTTTTAAGAACTAGAAGAGCAACCTGAATAGTGAGCAGGAATATGGGGCTATCTCTTCCTGAAGCAATGGCGGGGGGCAGGGCAGTTTCCTTTCCTAGGCTGCATGTTGGATGCGTTCCCAAAGCCATCAGTTCATTTGCATGCAGCTGAAGCTATGGTACCACCGCCTATAGTTTGACTTTTTCATTTTTTTTAATGAGGAAGGAGGAAATGAAAGCTTGGTGTTGAACAGGAAGGCTATTCTAAGAGAGAAAAGGGAAAAATAGACACCACCACCAGCCCCACCTGCAGGGACTGTACTGCATTCTGGAAGTCTTCTTTGCCCAACCCATGCCTCTCTGGAGGATGGAGTTCAGAGCTGGTGAGGTTTGGGGTCACAAATCAGGACTGAAGGAAAGAGGATGTTGGTTGGGGTCTGCCTTCTGCCAAACTGTAAATTCTAAGTTTTCTTGAATTTTTTTTCTCTTTAATTTCTTTCCTCTCAACCTGACCTTCACACACACTCCCACACATAAACACACATACATACATTCTAAACTTGGGAATTTTTCTACCACTTCCTTTTATTCAGACACTCCCTGAAGAACTCTGTCTTACTTTGAACCTTGCTTTTCCTCCCTCATTTCCTTCTCTTTTTATTCAAAATAGTCAGGGAGTGCCAGCCCTTCAGGGCAGCCCTAGGGCACAGTAAAAAGGCAGCTTAAAAATTCATCCATATTTCTCTATTAGTAGGATTTACCTGTTAGCTTCCCTCAGAACATACAATGGGCCCTTGGCATTTCAGAATTTAATAGTTTAGTGGTCAGAAAATCCTTGGTGGATATTAATTGTGCTTACATAATTTAAAAGGTATAATAAGAACTGTTTTCAAGACCAACACCTGTCCTCTGCAGCAAACTGGAAAAATACAGAATGAAGCACTAATTTGCACTCCAAAAGTTATAAGTCTGTTGGGCTCCCCTAACTACCCAGCATGACCAAGTTCTGTCCTTCTACTCACATACAGAGTAACTCTGGGAAGGAAATAAAAACCCATTTGGCATCACGTACAGCTTGGAAGTACTAATGTTTGTCCACAGTTTATCACCTACATAGTATTTTAAAGAATTTTAAAGAATAAATAACTTGTTAATTTAAGAATTTGGAAAGGTCTTACATTGGTCAAGGACTTCTTGTATAGTCACAAGGTTGTCCTGAACATGGAGTGGATTTGAAAGAGGGACTTTGGACAAGGGACATAGCAGAAGCTGAGTCTCTTGGTCCTTCAAACTAGAAGACTCGGCACAAAGCTCACCTCTGTCTGCACCAGGTCTATCATGAACCCGAAAGAATGCCAAAAAATCCAAACCAAAACAGATGTGAAGGTTGTGGTCTGACATAAAATTTTGTCATCCTGAGCTAATTTAGTTAAAAGTAGCTTCATTTAATTAAAAAAGAAAAATCTTTTAGAAAGAATCCAGAAAGTAGATTTCATTAGGGACATCATCTAGCATATAGTTCTTCTCAAAGATAGGGCATTCCCAAGAAACAGTCTTCCCCAGATGATCTGATAAGCTTTTACCTCAGATAGGGGGAAAAGACCCTAGAAAAGCTTCCGTGGGTTTAGAGGATATATGCTATGGAACACAGAGTTTTGGAATTAGACATCCTGGTTCAAAACCAGGCTCCTCCACTTACTACTTGTGTGGACTTGGACTTGCTATTCAACTTCTCAAAACCTCTGTTTTCCTTATTAGGAAAACTGCTCAGTAAATGCTACCACCTCACACACATGCAAGAAATGTATCAGTTTTCCTTCCATTATTACCATGATTGACTTAGTTCTAGTCTGGTGATGAATGTCAAAGATGCAGTTTTCTTCAATGGCAAGATGGCAAGTACTAGCGCCCATGCAACACAGCAAAGAGATCTTTTCACTTATTGGCAGAGAAAATACTTCCAATGAAACCAATTTCAAAATGATCAGTAGAACCAATATTCTGGATCAAACCATTGTATGTCTCACCCAATATCCTTTCTCATCCAGTGCCAATTTATACAACGATATAAGTCAACTGGAGATGAGCAAGCCTGCTTTCTGCCCACATGACAAATGTCCTGCCCAATTCCTTATAAGAGGCACTGGTTAGTGTTTAAAGTAGTCCTGAGTCAGCTTTACAAACTATAACACAGACTCCAAGTGCACAGGAAATGAATGAGCTTCAGTATACGTATGGACTCCACACATGGAGTTTTAGATGGGTATCAAAACAAGAGTAATAAAACATCTATTGTTCCAAGGTGAAAAAAATCACCATAGTAACCACTTTGCCTGTATTATGCCAGTGAGGTCTCAAAATGATCCTACGAAGTAAGTACTATTATTATCTCTATTGTACCTAATAAGGTTAAGGCTCAGAGATTTTAGAGAAATTTTCCAGTCTTGCAACTAGTAGTTGGCCATGCCTACATCTGAACCCAGTTCTGATTCCAAAACCTTACTTCTTAAACATTATATACTGCCTTTCTATGTGATTTGATATTACTTACAACATGGGTCTGAAAGCATGGTATTACTAAAACGACTTGCCACATCTGTCAACAAAATTTACTCTAGGATAAAGACAGATTCCAAGAAGTCTCATAAACCATCTAGATTTCAGTTATCGCAAAAAAAAAAAAAAAAAACCAGAAAGATTTTTTTTCCTGATCTCAGTAAGTGCCCACTATTTGCATCCTGAAACCTCACAGGTGCTTATATTTGTCTTCCTGACAGCATCTTTGTCAAAAATTTTTACTGCTATCAAGTGGCCCTTACAGCATCACTCCTCTCAAAGCCTGCACAGCCCTGAATGGAAAAGCAAGACTGGCATTGACACTATCCATGCATCACAGTGTGGTACTGCTGAATGTGCTGGAGGCCAGCTTCCTAAAAAGACCACCTGTGTTATCTGACCTTGGCCAAGACAGAAAAACTATTGCTGTCGTGAAACGTATTTTCTGGTGCCTTAACTAGAACTTTCAACTCATCCCTCTTCCAAATGAAACCAAATCACAAGTTACTTTCATCTCACTGATATACATTATTATAATGATGTAAATATATGTCATATACTAGAGGGCACACTTGTCACACAGGCAAAGCCTGAACAACAGGAGGCAGTGTAGAGACAGTTAACTGCACTGGTATTCTGGATGTGGAGGGCAAGGGAGCAGGGTCCTGGCAGAACCCAATAGCCACAAGATCAAATTGAGGGAAGGACAGTAATGTGGGCTGATAGAGAGTATTACAGGGGAGTCTTTAATCTTTTTGTGTCATGGTCTCTTTCAGAATCTAGTGGGAGCCAGTGTTTCCAAAAAAACAAATATAGTTGCTCCTCATTCTTTGTGGATTCTATATTTGTGGATGTGCCTATTTTCTGAAATTTATTTTTAACCCCCAAATCAGCACCTGCAATGCTTTCATGATCATTCATAGACATACAGAGTGGAGAAAACTTTGATCACCTGATTCATGTGTTTCCAGCTCAGGTTGAACAACATGATGCTCTGCCTTCCTGTTTTAGCTCTCATGCTATAAGCAAGTATCCTTTTCTGGGTTATCGAAGTGCCAAATGTTCTGCATTTTTGTGCTTTTGGCCAATGATTTCACTGTATAAAATAGCCCCCAAGGGGCTCCTGGGTGGCTTAGTGGGTTAAAGCCTCTGTTTTCGGCTCAGGTCATGATCCCAGGGTCCTGGGATCGAGTGCCGCATCGGGCTCTGCTCAGCAGGGAGCCTGCTTCCCTTCCTCTCTCTGCCTGCCTCTCTGCCTACTTGTAATCTCTCTCTGTCAAATAAATAAATAAAATATTTAAAAATAAAATAAAATAAAATAGCCCCCAGGCATGGTGCTGGAGTGCTGTCTTGTGTTTCTAAGTGTAAGAAGACTATTAAATACCTCTTGGAGAACATATGTGCATTAGATAAGCTTCATTCAGGCATGAGTTATAGTGCTGTTGGCCTTTATTCAATGACACAAATACTGTAATTAAAATATTATTTTCAGGGCTCCTGGGTGGCTTAGTAGGTTAAGCATCCAACTCTTGGTTTCGGCTTAAGTCATGATCTCAGGACCCTGTATCAGGCTCCATGCTCAGTGAGGAATCTGCTTGAGATTTTCTCCCTATCCTTCAGCCCCCACCCCACTTGCATTTGCTCTTGCTCTAGTTCTCTCTTGTGCTCTCTAAAATAAAGAAACAAATCTTTTAAAAAATAAAATATTATTTTATATAAAAAATACTACATATAATTATCTGTAAGAAATATATATTAAATAATGTGCTTCTAAATAGAAACACACATGAAACAAGATTATGTACTAATTGGTTGACAACAAATGTTGTGAGCAGAGGCTTTTGGGAACCTAACCACATAAATCCCCTAGGAGCAGTGCTTCAGTATTGGCTGATTCAGTGTTCACAGCAACTTTATAGAACATAATTTCATGAAGAATAAGAATCAACTGTATTTACAAATTTTACATGTAATAATATCAAGAGGCTCTTAGAACTAATGAAACTCTGATGTAAATCTCTCCTAGGAGTCCATATAACCCATGTTATATAGTCTTAATATCTTGCTACAAACTCACAAGACTGAAAAAGTAATACATGTGTTTATAATAACAACGTGGGTATAAAAATTATTGTTAACAAAAATGATCTGAGTTCCTATTATGTATAGGTAAGTTTTTCATTCCAAAGAAAGTTAAATATCAATATCTATGTCTGTATCAATTTTGAGACTATTCAACAGTATTCTGTGTGGCTTAAGTTGTTATTTTTTATTAAATAATTTAATGTTCAATGTAAAAAAAATATATATGAAAATTCAGAAATGTGATCTACTTATTTTATTACTCCATCACCTTTTAGATAATTGGGTGTTGGTGTTAGTATATACAATGAACATTAACCAGCCAATCCTTGAGATCCTTGTGAAACATTGGCTGGAAAAATGTAATAGTTAAAAATATTTTACAGTGGGGGGCACCCGGGAGTCAGTGACTCAAGCCTCCGCCTTTGGCTCAGGTCATGATCTCAGGGTCTTGAGATCCAGCCCCACATCAGGCTCCCTACAGGGAGCCTGCTTCCCCCTCTCTCTCTGCCTGCCTCTCTGCTTACTTGTGATCTCAGTCAAATAAATAAATAAAATCTTTTTAAAAAAATTTTACAGTGGGACATTTATTAACCCTTCTAACATTCCCTTTGCACAGACAAAGTTCACTCCTTATTTTTCAGAAAGCAAAGCATAACGACAGGAAATGGTTTGGTTTCTTTCCTCCCTGCTGACTCTATTTGGTCCCTGTTATACTCCTCTGTAGGTTGGTGACAGCCTCAAAGAAGAGCACTTCATCTCTTCCTAGACAGACTTTACTTTCAAGTGTCATTGTTCTGTATCTTAAGTGGTCTTTCTGAGAATCACATGAAGGGGTCCAGAATATGCCATGGTGGCATAGGTATTATTTTGAGTTGAACATTTGAGAATCAACAGTTGCAAGAAGAGGCTTTTTCTGAATTCCCCTTATCTGGCTAGAAACAGGGCCTCTCAAAATCATCCAACTGCCATAAATCTCCTCCCTGGCAGTTTCACAACCTGCCATGGAAGACTGACTCCTATCACCAGAGATGAGCAATGAGCACTGGGATTTCCAAGAAATTGCCTAAACAGACACTGTCACAAAACTATCATATCTCCCATCTATTCTCCTAAGGGACCATTTGTTTTTCCCAAAAGTCATTTGTTCTCCCACAAGTACCCCTCTCCCCCATTCAACCCCTATTAAGAGGGTAGATAAGCCTCAAATTCTAACTACCCCGTTAAGTAAATTTTTTGAGTTCCTGTGTGTATATATGATTAAAAGTTGTTTTTTCTTCTCTTACTCTTTCAGGTTGAGTTTAATTCAGTCCCCAAAGAACTAAAGTTAAAATGGTAGAGGAGACATTTTCTTCTATAACACAGGATTTTAAAGATTCCATGCTGTTGTTTCAAATTTCCTAACCTCTGATTTCCTAAATGCCTTCCATCTCTTAACCATACTTCCCATGGGCCAGATAAACTAAAGTTGCCTACTCTAGGATTATCCCCAAGACAGGAACACCCCAGGGTCCACATTATTTTGAGTCCAAACCTGCTACTCACCTTGGTTCTCCCAGCACTGAAATGTGGAGGCAAAGATCTTGAGGCTGCTGTTATCCTGGCTCTTGTCTGGGCCAAGTTACCTGAGCAAGAAAGACAAAAAAGCTAAAGTGAAGGAAAAATTAAGGAACAGAATTATGAGTAATTTTTTCCCTTTATGTCTTGTAGTTTTATTAATTTTCCAAATGATCTGCTCTGAATATGAAAAATTTGGAAGAATTTGAATTTTGAAACTTTAATGATATAAATTATAAACAAGTTATAATTTATAAATTATAATTTATAATAGAAATTGTATTTATATTAGTCTCATAAGTAAAAAATAAATAATAAAAAACTCCCCAACTCACTCAATAAACTAGCAATAGAAGGAAATTGCCACAACATAAAAAGGACATATGTGAAAAGCTGACAGCTAACATATTCAACAGTGAAAGATCAAAAGCATTTTCCTCTAAGATCAGGAACAGGACAAGAATGCTCATTTTTACCACTTCTATTCAACTAGCACTCAAGTTCAAGCAATCAGGCAAGAAAAAGAAATAAAAGACATCCAAATTGTAAAGAAAGAAGTAAAATGATCTCTGTTCATAGGTGGCATGATTTTATATATAGAAAACCTAAAGATCCTACCAAAAATCCTGTTAGAACTAATAAATCAATTCAGCAAACTTATATTGTAAGATATAAAATCAGCATAAAAAATCCAGTTGTATTTCTACACACTAACAACGAAAATTTTAAAAGAAAATTAAGAAAATCCTATTTACGATGGCATCAAAAAGAATAAAATATTTAGAAATAAACTTAACCAAGGAGGCAAAGACTTGTATTCTGAAAACATTCCTGAAAGAAATTAAAGAAGACACACAAATAAATGGAAAGACACCTTGTTCTTGGGGAAGAAAAGAATCTTTTTCCACTACTCATCTTATGTTACTCATCTTATGTGAATTTCCTAGGGCAAATTAGACTGATAGAAGACAGATTAACAAGAGAAAAATAAACAGAGGTTTCTTAATGCATGTATCACACATACACACAGGAGTATTTGGTGATAAGTAAGTCAAGAGGTAGTAAAAATTGGGCTCACACAGTATCTTAACAAAATAACAATAAATTTCTAGGTAAGTGACCAGAGATCTTTGAGTTTTTAGGGGCAATAAATTATGGGAAAGTAAATATATGAGGAAGCTAATGGAAGGTAAGGGCAAGTTAGTAAAGTTTTGTTACACAGATTCCTCTGGTGCTGTCTCTGGGCTGATAAAGGTCTAGAATTGTCTCTGGTGATTAACTTCTGTCTTTCCTGGTAGAGAGGGGTGGGGGGTTAGCTCTACAAATTTATATCTTGCTTTTATGTAAACAGGGAAGGCAGGGAGCTTTTCTTATATTTATATCTTCTCAATTACCTTCAGCTCAAATAATCTTTATGCCAAGGTGGCACATTTTTTTGTGGCGTATTTTATGTGTTCATGGATTAAAAGATCTAATATTGTTAAAATGTCCATGATACCCCAAAAAATCTATAGATTTAATGTAATCCCCATCAAAATCTTAATGGCATTTTCACAGAAACATTAATAAAACCCTAAAATTCATCTTCTAGAACCACAAAAGATCCAAAACTCCAAATGATCTTGAGAAGGAAAAGAAAAGCTGAAACCTTCATGTTTCCTGATTCCAAAATATATTATAAAGTAACAGTAGTCAAAACAGAATGGTACTGGCATAAAGAAAAACATGCAGGACAATGGAACAGAATAGAGAGCCCAGAAATAACTCTATGTATATATGGTCAAATCGTCTTTAAGGTAGATATCAAGATTATACAATGGGGAAAGGGTGGTCTCTTCAACAAATTGTGTTTGGAAAACTCGATATCCAAGTGCAAAAAAAAAAAAAAAAAGAAACAAGAAACTGGATGCCTATCTTACACAAAATTCAATTCCTCCTGGATTAAAGACTTAAATGTAAGACCTGAAGCTACAAAACTCCTGGGGGCGGAAAAAAAAACAGGGGGAAAGCTTCATAACACTGACCTTAGCAATGATTTCTTGGATAGGATATCAAAAGCACAGGCAATAAAAGCAAAAATAGACATGCGGGTTTACATCAAATCAAAAGCTTCTGCACAGGAAAGGAAACAATCAACAGAGGGAAAAGGCAACCTACAGACCAAATATTTCCAGACCATATAAGGGGTTAATTTCCCAGATCTATAAGGAACTCCTACAACTCAACAGCAAAAGATAAAATAACATAACCTGATTTTAAAATGGGCACAGGAGGGGTACCTGGGTGGCTCAGTTGTTTAAGCATCTAACTCTTGATTTCAGCTCAGATCATGATCTCTGGGCTGTAGGATTGAGCCCCACATTGGGCTCCACACTCAGTGGGGAGTCTGCCTGGGATTCTCTTTCTCCCTCTGCCCCTCCCCCCGTGTGTGTGTGCATGCACGCTCTCTCTACAAAATAAATAAATGAATCTTTAAAAAAAATATAAAAGGGATAACAAAGTAAAAATGGGCAAAGGACTTGACTAGGCATTTCTCCAAAGAGGACATAAAAATGGCCAAAAGCTATATAAAAGATGCCCAGCATATCCCAGAATCAGGGAAATGCATATCAAAACCACAATGAGATATCACTTTATACTATTAGAATGGTCATTGTATAAAACAATAACAGTAACAAGAGAAAAATAACAAGTATTGGCAAAGATATGGAGAAACTAGAAGCTTGGTGCACTCATTGCTAGTAGGAATATAAAGTAGTGCAGCCAATATGGAAAATAGTGTGGAGGTTCTTAAAAAATTAAAAATAGAATACCATGTAATCCAATAAGCCCACTTCTGGGTATTTATCCAAAACAACTGGAAAAAGAATCATGAAGAGGTATGTGCCTCCCATGTTCACTGCAGCACTGTTTACAACAGCCAAGCTGTGAAAACAAATTAAAAATTCACCAAAGGATGAGTGGATACAAAAAAATGTGGTAGATGTGTACAATGGAATATTATTCAGCCTTAAAAAAGAAGGATGTCTTGCCATTTGAGACAACACAGATGAACCTGGGACATTATGCTAAGTGAAATAAGTCAGTCACAGACAAATACTGCATGATTCCTCTTATATGATGTATCTAAAACAGATAAGCTCATAAAAACAGAGAGTAGAATGCTGGTTGCCAGGGCTTGCAAGGGCAAGGAAATGGGGGATTTTTTGTTCAGTGGGTAGAGTTTCAGTAATGCAAGATGAAAAAGCTCTAGAGATCGGCTTTCCAACAATGTGCACATAGTGAATGATACTGTACTATATACTTAAAAATGTGTTAGGAGGACAAGTCTCATGTTATGTGTTTTTATCACAATAAAAAAAAATTTTCGAACTAGGGTACTGTTAAGTCTTTGAAAGAGATGGGTAAGCAAGAAAAAAGATGCTGGGAGTGTTCCCAAAAAGGAAATTGGGCAATTGAGAACCCCACTGTAAAAGTTTAAGATTACAGACACTGATCAGCAGATCTGGAATAATGGGCCCCCTGGCACACGGGGAGAAAGCCTGCCATGCAGTAAACTAGAGGACACAGAGAGCATGGGTATCAGCCACTGAGTTTTGGGGATTGATGGGTTTTTGCATTTGCCTGGGGTGTGAACACATTAGCTAATATCTCAGTGCCCTGGTTTCCTTATCTATAACATGAAGACAGTATTACCTCATTCTGACAGTTGTTATGGGCATTCTATGAGGGTAATTCACGATAAGCACTGTCAATGCAGAGCTTGTTCAAGGTAAGTGATCACTTCATGTTAGCCAGCACTGGTTATTATTAATATTATTATTATCATTACTTGCTGTGAATAGTCCATCCACACAGGTCTCAAAACAAAGAGTAAAAGGCAAGAGAATACCAAGGAATCTTACTAATTTGCTACTACGAGAACTGGTCAGTCTAAAAACTAATGCTAGATAAGAAAAAAATGATAAGGCAACCTCTACTTTGAATCTCCATGTCTTGGCCACTCTGATTCCCAATGTTTTTTTTTTAACCTTTAATGGATCTCAGTGGCCTGTCCAGACGCTCTTCTCCCCTCACCACCCACCTACTCTTAATCTCCTCTCCTATCCCCAGCCTCCCAAACTCAGCGCTTGAAGATTTTTTGCTTCTTTACTGACGATGTCATTTGATTCTGTAGCAAAATAAAAAGTTGTCAATGAAAGGAAATGCTGTAATTTGTGCCTATGCAAGACACTTGAGATCTCAAAGTTTTTAGCAAGTCTAGCACAAAGATGTCCAAATGTTTTCTCTGGTGATATCTTCAGAGGCTAAACTGTGATTAATAGCCCAGAAAGAACCCTTTGAAGCAGGATTGGTGACATCAAAGTCATAATCCAGGGGTGGCAGGAGCTTTATAATGAGTGGGAAGCATTTTAACACATTTCAAAGGATTTACAGCGTGAATAAACAATAGACCTCGGCAGATGCACTGCACACACCTTGCAGAAACATAACCTATAAGAAGTTCCCATTTTAATTTAAATGTAAATACAGTGTTCACATTTGTTTCAAAGCATCCTCCCAGCTTCAGCCCTCGACAGCCTCTTTGGCTAAGGATGCCTCACTGCCCCCAGAGCCCCCGAAACTGTGACTACTGACGTGTGTTGGGAAGAGAAAATGGAAGTCAGAGCCATCTAAAGGAATTTATATCCTATGTGGGAAATGGGTTAAGAAAGAATCTGAAATGGAGCTTACAATGATCCCACACAATCTCTCTGTTTCCAACTTAAAGAGAAAGAGACAAGTGGTCTGAAGACGGAGCTGGAACTTTTAAACGATGGCAATTTCCTGCCTGCTTCAGAGGATTTCATCTCTTGGAAAGTACCCAGGACCCATGATTTCATCTTCAGTTGCTTCTTAAAAATTGTCCAAAATGATGGCTGCTGTTTAAATAATCACGCACAGAATTCAGCTTCCCTCTGCTGCCCTCTCTGGGTTTACAGAATTTGTTGCAGGGTTCCCGTGGTAACTGCTAGTGGGCATTTGGAAAATTTTCCTGCTTAAATTTTCCCTAAAACAAAGAACAGGC